TTATTATTGGTTTTTGACTGAAACGCATCTATATGAGATACAGCCATTTGACTATATTATTCAACTAAATCAGCGTTAACGAAATAGTCAGAAGTGCGTCTTTCCTGTATTTGTGAATTCTCCAAGAAGTCACTGTAATGGACATTTTCGTATTTTGTCTACAAAAGTTGACAAACTATTTCACACATTGAATATTTTTGGATGGCCATCCAAAACTGCTTGGCTTTTGCAATCTCCGGTAACCCCCATTCAAATGTGCGTGAGGATCGGGCGATAATTACGACATGCTTACAATTTTGCAGTTTTTTTGTCCATTTCAACCCCTAAATATATGGCGATCATCTCCAAAACGAGTAGGCTTCTATTCTGACCCTCATCTTATCCCCATGCAAAATTTCGTAAGGATCGGACCATAAATGCGATCTGTATATGATATCCTGATATCCTAACTACTTAGTTTTGTTAGCTGTAGAAATATTACCAAATGTTTAATTCAAAATGAAAATATACCAAAAATATGACAAAATTGAAAAAATATGAGAAAATTTACAAAATCAATATTTTCATCTTTAGAGAGATATTTTTATGTGATTTTTAGGCGTTTTTTCTTTTCTGCCAAAGGCCATTCTGAATTAATGAGAACTGTCGAAATCAGTTCAGCCATTCTCGACATAAAATAGATCTTTCAAGCATATCTTCTTTGATAGACATATATATCGCACATATTTTGCTATATATCCGATTTGTTGGATGTTAACATCAGTGTAAAGATCAGAAGTAACCCTGTCAATTTCGAATTTTTTCAATACAAAAGATATGGTCTATTTTACCCGCTAAATATAATCCGATGACCACCCAAATTGGTAGGCTTCTTCCCCGCCCTAAACTCTAGCTACATGCGAAATTCCGCGTCGATTTGTCTATAATTGCGACCTGTATAGCTACTGCAAAATCCGACATTTTTTCAGTATTTGGTCCATTTTAACCCCTAAACATTTGACGATCATCTCCAAAAGAAATAGGGTTCTATTCTGACATTAACCCCACCTACATTTTAAATTTCGTGAAGATCGGGCCATAATTGCGACCTGTAGAGTGATTACAAATTAACATGGACAGACGGACGGACGGACATACATAGCTGGATCGACTCAGCTCGGTGAGCTAGGAAGATCCATATGTACTTTCCTATATGGGAAACCAATATTTCGAGGTGTTACATAAATTCTGGCCCAATCAAACTTATAATACCCCCAACACATAGTGTTGTAGGGTATAAAAATTGTTTTAGACAAAAAATGTCAGAAGAAGAAGGGTCGATATATTCCATTTCCGCAACATATATTGTGTTAGTAAAAGCAATAGGGTGTGTGAAATTTGAAGATAATCGGATGCTTATTTCGCATTTTTAGAGAGTTATAATGATTGAAAATCTTTACCCGTTTTGGGGGGTACCAGAAGGAGTGGTCCGTTCTATTCGTTCTTAATACCACATCTAGACTTCTGATATTTTTTTGTTCAATAAAATGTATTATTTTCTGTGAAAAATGTAACATTTTTGTGTGGGAGGTACCAGAAGGAGTGGATCGATATTGCTCATGTGCGAACCTGATCTAAGATAGATAATAATATTAAGACATACCAAATTTAGACCAAATCGGATACTCACTTTGAGACTACTCTCACTTTGAGACTACTTTGAGTGTGAGAGTTTGAACCAGACAGACAGACAGGTGGACACCCCTAGATCGACTGCAAATGTCCTGACAAGGATTTGGTCCAAAGAGACCTAGGGTCTAAAACCGGTATTTCGATGAGGCACGTTTTGGCCGTGTCAAATGATATATACCCCCTGTAGCCATTTGGTCTACCGTATGCCCAATACAATTGATTAATTTTTTAGTACGTTTTATTATAACCTCCACGTTGGAAAGGAGGTTATATTAAATTTGTCATTCCGCTTGTAACACCTCTAAATATTCGCCATAGATCCCATAAAATATATATATTCATGATCAGCATAAAATTCTATGTCGAACGATGTCGTCTGTCTGTTGAAATCACGATACAACTCACATTGAAATTTGGCACAGTAGTTTGCATTGTGTCTAGGATGATTGGTATTAAAAATGAGATATATCGGTTCACATTTTGGAATAGCCCCCGTGTAACGGTACCTCCCGTTATTCGGTATATTGATGGTTTTACCCATATTTCTAGCTCCAGTGGCAGAATATTGAATATGTAGTTCCACGTTTCCCCATTGCGCACATATAATGGTTCCCTCGGATATTCAGTATTTTTACAATTAAAGTCACATTTTCTAAGAGTCTTGTGTGAAATTTGCTATTTGTACTTCATAATGGGCTCTAAAATCGGTGTCGAAACATTGTCCATATTGGTCCTAGTCATCCTAGGCACATTTACCTACGAAATTATGAAAAATTTGGTATTTAAGACTCGCAATAGATTACGATCTTTGTAGTATGAAATTGTCGATATAGGCTCCTTTTTTAGTATGGCCCACATATAACGGGTCCAAACTTCTCACCGGAGTTTGCAGTTGCACCCGTTTTGCCTGGGCGTTGTTAAATCAGTCAATCGTAGACAAACCTACATACCTCAGAGCTCTAGCATCTCCCAATCGATCAATATCAATGGTACCATAATTAGCACTTTTCGTAACTTTACAGGACGACTTACGAAAATACTGCCCTTATCTAGTACATCTGTTCCAAGGGAGACTTTTACCTAAAATTTCAAGATTCCAACTTCTGTCGTTTCGTCGGGGCGTTATGAATCAGTTAGTGAATCAATCATTCTACTCTTCTATATATGTATGTAGCCAGTTTTTATACCGTACACCACAAGGTGGTCAGGGTATTATGTATTTGTGCATTTGTTCCTTTTGATGATCTGCATAGAATCACATCCTGAGTCGATTTATGCATGTCCGTTCTTCCGCCCGTCCGTCTATTCATGTATTTTTTAAACAAAGTACATGTCGCATTTATTGTCCGATCCAGATGAATTTTGCACAAATCATTTGTTTAGCCCAAGGACAAACCCTCTAGAAATTGGAGATAATCGCTCAAAATTTAGATATAGCTCCCATATATATCTTCGTGCGATTTGCCTTTTTTTTTTTTTTTTTTTTGCACCAAACAGGTAATATCAGCCGAAATAGTATGGAATTTTGCACATACGACCAAATTAGGCCTGAAAAAAAGTATGCCAAATTTGATCGAAATCGGTTCAGATATAGCTATATCTCTCATATATATTTTTCATCCGATTTGTTATTTTTGTCTTCCGCAGCCGTAATATGCTCTATATAACAACAATATTTGGTGAAATATATCGAGTACGGCTCAGAAAGAAATTTTCTAAATTTTATCGAAATCGTTTCAGATTTGGATATAGCTCCCATATATATCTTCGTCCGATTTACCTTTTTTTATGCGCCAGATCTGTAAAATTATCGCAAATGGGGTAGAATTTGGCACTTATGACCAAATTGAGTCTAGAAACAAGTGTGTCAAATTTAGTGCAAATCGGTTCAGATATAGCTATAGCTCTCATATACATTTTTCATCCGATTTGTTATATTTGTTCTCCACAGCCGTAATATGCACTCTGTACCAACGATATTCGGGGAAATACTTTAAGACCCGACTTAAAGACTTTCTTTACTGGATTACACACACTAAACTGTTAAAGTTAGATCACATTCTAAGATAGTCTACTTTTGTACCTCCCCCCACATATTTTATACAACTACGATTGTCGGCAATCAAAATATCTGTCCTTTATTGAAAACATGCTTCTGCTACAACACACATATTTCACATTAATAATAATATTTAAAACTATATGTATATATGTTTGTAAATACATATACAAACAAATGTATGGAGCCTAAGCTTAAATCTCAAACAATAACCCCAATTATGGCTCTCCACATCAGAAGCAGCAGCAGCAATACATGGAGTTTTTGCACAGAACATTAGAAACAACACTACAAAGGGTCACATGCATATGTATGTACGTACATTTTTTGGTCTATGTATTTAAATGTTGGTGTGTGTGCGTCCTTTTTAAGGCAATCTTATGACGAATATTTGATATGAATAAAACATTAGAATAGTTGAACTCGTTTTTTTTTCTATTTTTTATTTCTTTTAGTGGCTGCAACAGCAGCTACATTTCAAGTCGACCCTTCCCCCTCTTCATTTCTTTTCGTATTTACACAACACATACATCCGCACGTACGTTACGCATATAAGCCAAACATTTGTTCATCCATTCACTCGCTTATACATATGTCAGATGCATCATCTCTCATACATCCCTATAATGAGGAAATTCTAACAAAGTTGACCCAAATCCTTGTACACTTGTACTGGCGGGTGGGAAGTTCTATTGTGTATACGCGGCGTGCGTGTATACATGAATGTTTTATGTCGGTCGGTCGGTCGGTCTGTATGTATGTACGAATGCGGTTGAGCGCTTGTACAGAGATTTGGGATGCATTAACAACTAAACGGAATCAAAACTAAATGCATACAGAGACCACACAACAACACCACTACATATATGTGTTTAGATGTGCATCTGAGTATGAGTGAGTCTTACAAGGCCGGACGATGATGAAAAGATCCCAAATATTCTTGACAAGGATGAGCGGTTGTCTTCAGCACCTCCCCCCCCCCCCCTCCCCTTCCTTAACGTAACTTTAAGTTTTTTTTCATGTCACATTACTAATCTTTTAGGATCTGGGATAGATTTCTGTTGTAAGATAGCTACATATTCCAAATATTTGCGAGTTTTATTGACAGTTCCTTCTCGTATGGAATGTATGCCAGCAACATCCCCTCCTCCCCCCCCCCTCTCAACATCCTTATTAGGCTCCTTTCTTAATTAAAATACAACCTCAATAAGATAATCTTCTTCATTGCAAGCATGATGCTGCCGATGATGATGATGACAACTTGACTTACCTTTCTTCGTCCACAACAAAGCATTCTTCGCGCACGCGAATGTCCTGTAGCTGCTTTCAATCGAGTAAACTTCTTCTTCCACTGCATTTAGTGGTATTGGTAACGTGATGACGACGACGACACGACGGCGTATTTGTGGCACGTTTCGGTTGTACACAATGCTGTTGAGTTGAGCTGCATTAATGATACATATGTGTGTGTGTTGCCGCTGCTGTATGTGAATTTGAATTTGAATCCGAATCCGAATGTGAATGTAGTATGTGTGGCTGCAATTTCCCTAGTAGTTGTAGTGGTAGTCGTAGTAGTAGTAGTCCATCAACGATGACCAACAACACAACACATTCAAAAAACTTCTCTTGCTGCTTTTGCTTTTTCACTCGCGAACATGACATACTATGTGGTGACGACAATGGATGTGGTGGTGGTGGTGGTGGTGGTGGGGGGAAGTTGAAATTACCGCGTAGCCACAACAACACACAGCCTCCTCTCCTCCGCCCACATCAGTGTAGATAGTTGGAGATGGTTGTCATTTCTGCAGGCCTAGATTCCATTGATTGTAAAACTGTTGTCCGCGCTCAGATGTGGTGACTGATCCACTGATTCGTTGTTGACATCACGTTGCATGGAGTGATTGAATGACCCTGCTGCTGCCGCTCCTGCTGTTGGTCTCTGTTCTATGTGTGTATAACTGCTATCTGCAAAATGGAAAAAAAGAACACCAAATAAACCATAAAGCTTAAGTAAATATACCGTGTGTGTATGTGTATGGCAACAATGTATTTGGTAAATTGAGAAAATATTTAAATAAATTAAGACTGCATTGAAATGTTTGGATTGTTAGCGTTGACCACATAAAATAATTCGGAAATATTCATTAAACTCGTTCATAACATTGGTAATGAAAGCCAGCCTGGGCATGGGAGTACAACCAATATTGGAAAGACGGAACTTTTTTGTACCCAAAAACAATAAATTATAATTTTTAATTTTCAATGTTTAACCATTCATCCTCGTCACAGTTTTTCGCTAAAAAATTGTGTGCTCTTTGAGTTTGTCCTTGTTACATTATTATATCCTCCACCTTGGAAAGGAGGGTATATTAACTTTGTCATTCCGCTTGTAACATCCTTAAATATTCGTCGTAGACCCTTTAAAGTATATATATTCATAATCAGCATAAAATTCTAAGTCGATTTAACGATGTCCGTCTGTCTGTCCGTCTGTCTGTTGAAATTACGATACAGCCCACATTATTTGACGTAGAGCGCCAAAATTTAGCAGAACAATTGGTATTGTGTCTAGGATGGTTGGTATTGAAAATGAGATATATTGGTCCACGTTCTGGTATAGCCCCCATATGATGGTACCTCCCGATATTCGATATTTTGATGATTTTTGCCACATTTTTTCACGGATTTGTCTGAAAATTGGCATTTGTAGATCATAATGGGTTCTAGCTCCGTTGGCGGAACCTTACATGTGTAGGTCCACGATTTGGTATAGCCCCCATATAACGGTACCTCCCGATATTCGGCATTTTAATGGTTTTTGTCACATTTCTTCTAATGTTTCCTTTACCCTAAGGTGGATGGTATAAGTTTGGCCCGGCCGATCTTAATGTTTTTTTTTTATTGTTTTTTATACCCTTAGCCATATGGCTAGAGAGTATATATAAAATTTGATTACGCCACAGGTGCCTCATCAAAATAATGGTTTTAGACCTTTGGTCTCTTTGGACCAAATCCGTTTCAGGACATTTGGTGTCGATATAGCGATGTCCGTCCGTCTGTCTGGCTGGTGTGCCCCATAACTCTCGAAGGGATTATTCGATTTGGTCCAAACATGGTACATCGTAATATTATTGTCAAACATAGATCGAGTTCGGAGATGGGCAATACAGGGTGAGATAGTTCTTGCACTTTTTGGAATTTCAATGGCTTTATCCCGAGCTCATTTTTCAATAATTGCCGAATAGAATATTGCGATATGTTCAGCTCGCGAGCCATTTTTCCGGCACTGCGACGCGAGTTTCGATCAAATCGCTTCTTTACTTTTCGAACCATTTCTGCTGATGTTGCCGTTTTCTTCCGTTCATTTCCTTGCCGTCGGGCTACGCTACCAGTACCTACGGTAACGTAAAATGCGAAATTAACATCCGATTCCATCGGACTTGGCACCTGCCCCACATAATATTTAATATTAATGACACTCATAAAACGCCAAGTAAACATCCGATTCCATCCAGACTGGGTACATCTCAATATTTCCATCAACATCAGATTTTTTTATAAAAATGAAGGGACTATGTCTTCTGGTACCTCCCCCACATAATTTTCAAGATTTAAAAAAAATTTAAACATACAAACATTTTTGCTAACAAAATATCTGTTGTAAAGATGATATATGTATATATACATATTCATAATCAGCATAAAATTCTAAGTCCAAAGGTTATCTCGGATATTCAGTATTTTGATGATTTTGCAAATTTTTTTACGGATTTGTTTAAAAAATGTGTATTTTTAGTTCGTAATGGGTTCTAGCTACGGCGGAGAAACATTGTACGTATAGGTCCACGTTTTGGTATAGCCCCCATATCACGATACCTCCCGATAGTCAGTGGTTTGATGATTTTTACCACAGTTTCCCACGGATCCATCCAAAAATTGGTATTTGAAGTTCGTAATGGGTTCTAACTCCTGTGGTCGAATATAATATGTATAGGTCCACGTTTTCGTTTTATAGCTCCCTCATAACGGGGATGTTTTTTCTACATTTTTCCACGGATTTGTCAAAAAATTGGTATTTGTAGTTCATAATGGCTTCGATTTCCGGCGACAGAACATTGAAAATATAGGTCCACTTTTTCTGATACTCGGTATTTTGATAATCCTAGTCACATTTACCAACGAAATTGTTTCAAATTTGATATTTAAAAAGATTTGGTAGACGACAAACCTTGATGTATAAATTGTTTTTGGAAGTTAATGAATAAAAGCCAAAAATGTTGGAAATAGGATACAATTTTAAAATAAGTTTAGATTCGTTCGAATTGGACACCTTCGTCACGAATTATGGCCTTCAAACGACCAATAAAATCGTCACACGCTGCCCGAATGTTGCTCTACGGTATTTTGGGCCATTCCCAGCGAAGCGCTTGCTTGAGGTGGTCGACACTTTGGTATTTTTAGTACCAACCTTGTTTTCCAGAATACCCCATACACAATAGTCCAACGGATTGGTATCCGGAGGTTTTGGTGGCCATTGTGCGCTGGAAATGAAGCGAGGAACCTCATTTTGTAACCATTCTTGGGCGGCGCGTGCTGTTTGCAATGGTGCTGAGTCCTGTTGGAATGTCCAAGGTCTGCGGCCAATATATTTGCGTGCCCAATGCTTTAATACACCCTCCAGAATATTTTCGCGATAATATTCGGCATTTATTCTGGTGCCACGGTCGATTAATACGAGCGGAGAGCGACCATCGGCTGTTATGGCGGCCCACACAATCACCATGGCCAGCGCTTGAGTTCTGGTGGCCAACCGAAGGTGCACATTTTCAGCTAACCACTTTGGCAAGTAAATACGATCATTTTGTTTGTTTACAAACTGCTGGACAACGAATGTTTTCTCATCGGAGAAAACCAAATTCGGCAGTTCACCACTTTCGGCCAAGCGAAGCAACTCCTTAGCTCTTTTGAGTCTATTTTCATTCTGTTGCGGTGTAAGTTCTTGCACTTTTTGGAATTTCAATGGCTTTAGCCCAAGCTCATTTTTCAATATTTACCGAATGGAATATTGCGATATGTTCAGCACACGAGCCATTTTTCGGCCACTGCGACGCGGGTTTCGATCAAGTTGCTTCTTTACTTTTCGAAACATTTCTGCTGATGTTGCTGTTTTCCTTCGTCCACTTCCTTGACGTCGGGCTTCGCTACCACAAAAGATTTATTCACATCTAAATGCTGGAGTGCCTATCTAACGATAGCCACTTGTGGTTTTCCAGCCAAATATAAAGAAATCACAATGTCACGCTTGAATTCCATCACGAATAAATTTTTTTCTGGAAAATTCTGACCAAAATGCTTTTGTACGCTTGTAAACAATATAATGAGCTGTCACTGGAATAATTTTAACAGCTGTCGGACTAGTGGCTTAGAAATGACAGCAGTCTGAAGTTGGTTGCAGTCATTTTATCTCACCCTTTATTTGTGTCCATTTTGACAAAAAGACTCAAAAATTTCTAATTTTTCTAATCAATTTTTCAACTGATTCATAGCATTATGTAAAATTGAATATTTTACTAAATGTTTCCGATGCTTAGATTTCTTGTCTTACTTATGATTTACTTAGAATCCAATATAATTTTTATTTCAGCTTAGAAATGACAGCAGTCTGAAGTAGGTTGCAGATTTTTTTATCTCACCCTGTAGACTCTCCACTTCAGAGTCTTACTTTGGGAGCTTTTCACCAAGTTAGAAAAAATTCAATTTTTTTTAAATCTTACAATTTTTTTCAGAATTTTTCAACATTGCTGAAAAATATTTGAATAAATTTTACCCAATTATTACTCTTTTTGATTACTTCTATGTAATTCATATTTTATTATTACTGTAAATGGGAACATATACATGTGCACATACGCCCATTTCTAAATTGTAAAAAACAACAAACATGTAATTTATTCTAAAACTCAACTAAAAATAATAATCATAAATGTTAAGCCATTCCAAAATAAAGAAATGAACATGAATTCTCTAATATGTTCACTACAGTAAAATTTTATTGATATCCTCTTTTTATGATTGCAGTTGTCATAGATCGAACCAACAACTGAAATGGATTGCGATTACATGTTAAACTAGGACACGCTGCATAGTTATATTTACCATGTACCATGATGCAAATGCAACAACCATAACATGGGAAAACACACACAAAATGTTCCCCTCTCCCTCTCTCTATCTCCAATCTCTTCTACTTGCTTTTACTGCTGACCATAAAATAGTCATTGGAAATTTAACCTCCTAATGTTTTACTAACTGGAATTACATCATTTGGGTCAGACAATGAACGGAATGCATCAGCACCATCATCCCGCTACCCATCTCCCTTTTTCTCTGTTGGCAGACATGGTAGAGTGACATCAGACCTACATTGCACAAAGTATTTGGGAATTTTGTTCGTCTTAGATAGAGTCTTAGAAAGTATTGAACGAGACTCGACAACAATGTTTTCCCCAACTGCATTGAAGTATTGTTACGCAAGGACATGCATATGGAGTCATCCAATGAAACATTGTCTCGCAAATTGGCGGAAAATTTCAATCCAACTGGGAAACTGTCATGCAGATGGCTGATGGATGATTAAATGCTTCCCCTGCATTTTTTATTGATGATTTATATTCAAAATCTAACTATAAATTGTAGTTTGGTATATTTTTACAATGTAACGCAAATTGAAGTGGTTGCAAGATATTATGAGTAGTAAAATAAAAGAAAATAATAACACTGTGCTACAAAAAAAAAAAAAAAAAAAAAAAAAAAAAAAAAACAGTAAAGAAAGTCCTAAAGTCGGGCGTGGCCGATTTTATGATACCCTACACCACTTTGCCAATTTATGATACCCTACACCACTTTGCCAACAATTAAATGCTTTTATGGGAGAATTCAATCATACACGCTATGATTATGATTAT